GGTCGGTCTGTGCATCTCCGACAATCTTTTGCCTCGTGGTTCGATTTGGTCATGGGCCCGATATTGATACCGAAGTGATCCTTGATCGGATTTGGAGCTCGAATCCCGAAGCCCTTTCTTCGAACCTTGACCTGACCTTACGTAGATACCTTTCGATCGAAGTATTATTATCTCAACCAGCCCGTACAACTGACTTAATAGGTTTCGACCGCATACACTTCTCATGACTGAAAGTGATGAAGACCAAAAGATGGGCTCGTTCCTCAAGTTTTATAGTTGTAATTTATCAATCCAATACATTACTTCTTTTCTAGCTAGAGATGCCCGTGCAATGCACGGGCCCAACATGCTAAATATTTGTCCAGTATTCTTTTCATGCTAATAATATTGTGCAATGTTGATGCTAGTAGAAATAGTGCTTCTTATTGAAATCGAATTAAGTAACCACAAGAAAAAGAGCACTATGAACGACATGGACACAGTAGGGCACTTTTTGGTACAATATTATTTGCAAAACGGAAATGGGCCTAACAATACCCATAACGTATTTAAAATGGCTCAAAATTACCCTACGTTAGCCTTTTGGTTCGCAAATACCCCTAACGTTATGTTTGGGCTCAAACTTACCCATATATCTAACAGAACTAACCTGGTCAATTTTTTGACTTTAACTTCGCCATGTGGCAGTTTCTTAACCCGCCACGTGTATTATTTGTATTAAATAAAACCCACCTGTATCTTTTAAAATACCCAACGATCCTGACCCGCTCCTATATATTTGGACGGTCGGCTAAAAATAATTATATTTACTATTTAAATATATAAAAAAATATACATTGATTATATATAAAAAATATATATATTATACATTAGTATTTTAATATATATTTTACATGATATTATTTTTAGCAAAAATTATACGGTATAATTTTTCTTCAAATTTTGCATTTCTTAACAAGTTTAACAAACATAAATATGATAATGTTCTATTTATATGACTTCCTAAAGGAGAAGCAAAGAAACATATGGAAAGAAAATTCTTTAAAAACTTTAATTATATACATATCCAACTGCTTAGCACATTAATGGACTTCATTTGATCGTTTCAATGAAAACTAATATTATTTTAATATATAACGATAGAGCTAAAATATTAGCAAAAACTATCATTCCATTGTCGGATTTGCTTAATAAATTCGAGTTATAGATCATAATTAATAGAAAAAACTACACCGTATAATTTCTGCTAAAAATAATATCATGTAAAATATATATTAAAATATTAATGTATGATATACATATTTTTTTATATAATCAATGTATATTTTTTAAAATATTTAACTAGCGAATATAATTATTTTTAGCCGACCGTCCAAATATATAGAAGCGGGTCAATGTCGTTGGGTATTTTAAAAGATACATGCAAGTTTTATTTAATACAAATAATATACGTGATGCGTTAAGAAAATGTCACATGACGAAGTTAAAGTCAAAAAATTGACCAGATAAGTTTGGTTAGATATAAGGGTAAGTTTAAGCCCAAAAAACAAACGTTAGGGGTATTTGCGGACCAAAAGGTTAACCGATGGTATTTTTGAGCCATTTTCAATACGTTAGGGGTATTGTTGGCCCTTTTCCGTTTGCAAAATAGGACAAAAGTATACTTTTAGATCTCGAGTACTAAAGTTCAACCATAGTCAAGTTCACTGACTGGGCTTTGGTTGCAATCAGCTAATCTCAGACGATATGCGAATGACGAACACATCTGAAAATGCATGGAAGAAACCACGCGGAACCACCTGCACTCGAAGGAAAAAAGAGTAAGAAGACAAAAACAATGCTTAAGCCAAGGAGTCAAGAAAGCATAAGAGAGCATCCGACTGAATTAAAACACTGAAAATAAACAACGACGTGATTGGCACAAAGTGACAAATAAATACTAAAAGCCGGCTAACTACTCTTGATGATATGAGTGAAAGAAACTGCAAGTATAGACATACTAACAGTTAGATGCCCAGATTTATGAGCAACTGAATCCTATGTCACCCAGGAAAAATAAATAGATAAAATTAATAACTATTAATGGGAAATAATAAAAATTGAGTCACATGCTCTCTTTATCTCTAAATGAATGGCATAGTTCAGAGTAAGTGAAAACACTAATTGAGTCACACTTACGTGTTCTCTTTTAAAGAGAAACAAATAATTAGATTCAATTTCCCAGGAAGTTCATTCATCCAGAAAATCTCCCTACAGCGAAAACATTTGAATTTCCAAGTACGTAAAGATTTTCAATAACTGTAAACTCAAAAAGTCAAGATTCAAATGTTTATAACATACAGAAACAGATGCGCACTGAGATAGAGAAGCAAAACCTGAAAATTCCATAATCAGTTGAGATTCAAATTAGTAGTATGGAACTTTTGGAATATCAACATATACAACTCAAAACAAATAGAGAAATAATCTGGTGTATTTCATTTATAATCCAAGATTCGCTACATCTAGTTATTTATAACCAAGAAATTAAAAAGAAACCCATTTCCCATCAAGAATTTCAATATCTTTTACCACCTTTCATAGATCACAAAACAGACACCCACAAGCATCTCTCAACTTTCTTGGCTTTTTCACATAACAGAAAATCATACAAAATCTACAAAAAAAAAAAAAGAGAAAGAGAAAAGTGTTTTGCAACAGAGAGCAGAGCTTGGTTTACTTGAAAGTGAAAGGAGATTGAATGTGCGGAGATGACAGCCGTCGGCTTCCTCTCTACCTTCCTAGAGAGACGAAGCGAGTTAGAAAAGTGACAGACTGGTAGGCTACGCGGTTGTTCAGTGGTGAGACGAAAGACACATATAAGTACCTACAATGACAAGTCCAAAACACCCTCATTAGGAATTTAAATTCCACTAAACACACACATCAAAACTCGTGGCTTTTTTTATATAATACAAAATTAAGAATTTAAAATCTTTGTTAGTGTATATTAGAAAACAATTTTCTTGTTAGTGTCTATTAGAAAAATAAGAATAGAAAACAATTTTCTTAACCTTCATAGTTATAGACTTATAGGAGCAAAAGATGTGCAATGATTTACACATGAGGAACTTCTCCACTAATTATAATAAATTGTTGAAGACTTCTTAAGGTCTATCTATTAAGGAACTTGCACAGCTGCTATTTATGCTTTTATTTTGGTCATTTTGTGTCTATGAACTCTCAGCAAGCCACAAAAGTATTAATCAAAACAGGATGCTAACTATAAACTAAGCGATAATGAAAAATTGATCGCTAAGGACCAATAACGAAGAACATAAAAGATCAAATATTAAAAGAAAAAATGCAACAGAATGAAACGAAGAAGAAAGACTGGAAAAGGTGCACCTTAGCAACCCAAGCAAATATACATCACTCTCAGCTGGATGAGCTTACATCATTCCAAAGCACTCATCCTACAGATAAACAATGAAAGTATAAATTGAGCCAAATATACCAGATGACATTACTTCGAGAACAAAATCCTTTGAAAGACTTGATGGATAGCGAATTTTTATTTGCTTGTAATTAATTGTTTTCGTTTCTGAAGTGAGTGTTGTGTTTTAAAGCAAAACTCTTGTACTTGAGTTGCACAAATCTTGTCATACTTGCATCAAATATTATATTTGTCATAAACACGGTCCGAAAGTCAATCTCTTACGATGAGATCATCATGGAAAGCTGCTCATAGCCACTATAATAGTTGACTTTGCAGACCATCACATATGATTTAACTAAGAGTCAGATACAATGTACTACAAAGTAAATGCATATAACTCGGGAATAGACTCACCCTCGGTAAATTTCTCCAATAAGTAGAAGCGTATGACAAGAAAACCTTCAAATAGAATAGTCTTTACTATGATACAAATATACATTTTCAAAATTTATCATACTAATAATGAGAAGCATTTACCACGAAGTTGTACAAATTCCACAATGAAGGAACCTCAGTAAAGGGATACACTTCACCTCTGTGATGTCAATGAAATTTCTGGATAAAAAATAATCTCACATCTTCAAGCTGCAAAAGCCAAGAAGTATTATAAAGAGAATCTTCTCATTAGTCAAAAATGCAGTACAAGAAATAATAACAAAAATGACGGAAGACTATTTAACCTCACAAGAACATATGTAACCATTACAAAGTGAAAAATTATAGCTGATAGTACATATGTGACGGCCAAAAAAAGTAGCTTCTTATCAATGTTTCAAACTTCATATTGAGTGGAAATGTCACTTTTTTGAGTGAAGTTAATACCTGAAAATTAGTTTTAGCATATCATAATATTGATAACTTAGAAACGGGTACAAACAGATAGAGTAAGGGACTAATAGACTATTGGGGCTTCGTCTATCTTTCTTTTATTGTTGGACATCTGTTTTTAGGCATTTGATAAAATTCCTTCAAAAATAGAGTCTACATTTTGTAATCTTAATATTTAATTTATTAAGTAGATAATCTATAGAACATAAAATAAAATATAAAGCACAATCATTTTGCATTATGATTAAGCAAGCAGTGCACAAAATTATCTCTTACAGTTATAGTAGTATCTCTTTTTCCCCATCTTGAGCGACTTTCACTTCAAAAGCCTGTGAATAAAAAAGTTGTGATCATTATATTCTAACTAAACGGATCACAAACGTTCGATTATGTCATGAATCGAGAAATTAGAATTCACTGAATATGAGTAGTGGAAAATATGTAAACACAGAGACCAAAACTTTAAAAAAGCATTCTGGTTGCAAAATCGTCATGGCCCAATGCAAGTAAAATTGATTGATTGTGAAAAAATAAAACATGCATGAGCAAAACAGACAAACTTACCGATATGCACGCAGAAATCCAACCAAAAATTACCCAAATTTCAAGATGTTCAAATATCTTTTAAAAAATAGATTGAAACACATGAATGGCTGAACAAATTAAACAGAGGAAAATTTAAAGAAGGTTATATTAGTATAAGATGAAATCTTGTAAGCTTACAACTAAAAGTACCAATTAAATAATAACAAATCATTTTAACACGCAAAAATATCATCACCTACATGTAAAATACATCATCAACTACATGTAAAAGGTAAAAGGCACCAAATAAACAATTGATAAGCTATTTCAGGCAGTCAGGCATATTATCAAATACCTTATCTACACATTGTGTGTACTCCCGTAAAGGCTGTCAAACAATTAATTACATGCATGAGCAGAACCCACACAGAGAACATGAAGAAAGACCACCAAAAAGTCATTAAAGAAATCCATTCATGATTCGGTGAAGAGAAACATAAAATAATAGCTGCTGAAACAGATTATTTGAACCAACATCCAACACCTCAGGATTATTTCTTAATTCGACCCTCTTGATTCGTTCATGGTATGCAACTAATTAGAAAATGCAACTAATTAGAAACAACGTCCCTCTTCAGAAAAACCAAAATATACAATATTGAAAGAAAAAAGAAAGGCAGCCAGAAAATAATACGCAAAGCTGCAAAGCAGAGGGTAAGAAGAAGAACAGCAAAATTCACCAAAAAAAAAAAGGAAAGGAGGAAGCATAAGAAAAGATGAAGTGAGAATTGAAATGTGAGGCGTTCTCTCAAAAGGTTTGAGCAAAGAAGAACCCAAATGAAAATCTGAAGGAAAAAGAAAAAAAAGACCAAAATCTAAACACACGCGGTGTTTAAAATTGGACAGATGGAAGTCTATAAGACAATTTTCCCCAATCTTAGAGATCACATTTACGGAAATGCCCTTGATCGTACCGAGGGACTTTCACTTATTATTAGGGGTGTTACCGACTAAACTGGCCGAACTGCCGCACCGAACCGATTTTTACATTTTTTTTAAGAAACAATAGATTTTTATATAAATCTATAATCGCACCTATATTTAGAATCATTTTTTTATTTTATAAAAATAAATCAAAAAAATACCGAATCATACCGAATAAATTTTACACGTGAAAAATATATTTATCTAGTAAGTTTAAATAATAGTGCATTAAATTTTTCTTTGAGCCTTGGAATTATGAAAACTATTACAAGCCAACAAGTAATTGAACTCAAAATACTAATTCCTAAAACCTATTATACTACTTCTACTTAAACTAAGTTATTTCAAGTATCTTTATTGGCAAGACACGGAGTATTCTAGCGATTATGAGTAACAAACTATAATGTATTGAATATATTTCCTTTCATATAATTTAGATTTATTTTTTTGAATATTTAATCTTCTATAGACTTTATTCTTGAGTCTCAGCTTGGTTAATATCTTTTCACTCGTGTAATTTATATTTTCTTTGCCTTTGCTTGGTTTCTTTTACGTTGTTGTAGAATAGTTGATGTATCTATACTCTAGCCACCTTTCATTTTTTAAAATTCATTACCCTTTAAACAGTAAAAATGTCTAGAGAGTTTTGCTAAGTCCTATAAATGAATGTATGTTATTGCGTTCTACTTCTACTGTGAATTTTACTTGATATTTAAAAAAATATCAAAAATTAACCGAACTTCACCGATAACGAAGAGAAACCGACATGATTGGGACGGTTTCGAAAAGTCTAATCTTGGTTATACATAATAGAATAACCGAAAAATTGATATGATACAAATTTTATAAAATGACCGGATGAACCGAACGATTGACACCGCTACTTATTGTAGTTAAAATCTTAAAAGATGAGGCGCTCACTTATGTTTTCTTTAATTATAGAATAACTAGTTATATGTTCGCGCTTTGCGCGATCATAATTAAGAGATAGGAGTAGCATATTTAATATAATATTTTTTATAAATTTACTTGGCATAAAGAAGATAAAAATTTGATATATTATATATGTGTGTGTACCAAAAGAAAAATTATAGTTGATATTTTTTCTTCCGTGTAAGTACTTATTTACCGTAATTACAAATTAGTTTCATCACTTAGGTAGTGTTTTGTATCATACATATTACATCATTCTAATGCGAAGATAAATTTAGGAATCTTCTTAGAATAAAGAAGTTAAAATGTAATGTCATATGTGCTAATGGAAACCAAACTTGAATGTCATGCCAAAATATGAAACAAAGAATAGAAAATTTTATCCAAAAAAAAAAAATTGAAAGAAAGGAACAGGGAATAGTCACTTGTGTGACCACTAAATGACCTTTACTTTCTCAGACAGCCTAACTTGTTCTTCTCCTTTACTATTGGTACTGTTTATAGGTGTTTGAAACTGTCAAAGTTCCAATTTTTTTCCCTGAACTCTTTATCCAAAAAGGGTTGCAGGCAAGTTGACATTATCTTACCACTGACAATTAGGATAAAAAAGCCGTGATCTGCTTCTCACCACCTTCTTCTCCATTATACGAAGCCAAAATAAATGAATCTCCGCAGCACCTAGAAAATCCTCATTAATTTATTAATAAACTGATCCAAAATCAACCTTAAAATCGACAGCCCTTTACTTCTCCGATTCATTCGAACCATAGATCTGCCTCATTTTAACAACCTCATCTTTAAAGGCTCAAAATAAATTATAGCTTATATTCACCTTGTACTTCGATCTCTTCACAATCCTTTACATCTTCAGACTGCGCCAGTTATACATCCTTTTCCGACACACTTACCCGCCATTTTCCCATATTTTTCATCTCCTTTTCTCATTTATAACCTATAGAATCAACAAACTCCTATAACAGCCCGGTCAAAATTCTGATAAGATACAACCACTCCTGAAATTCAAATAAACTATTCAAATATAAATCCCATGATAAAAAAGATCGCAACTCTAAGAAGTTGTAGAATACAACACAACATTATGTGGTATAATTAATTGCTTAACTGTTCTATTGTAAATTGATTGTTGTTTCTTCATAAATCAGTAGCAATTTTTTCATGCCTTCTTAACTCAACTTATTAATGATTGATCCTATCTCTGTATATAATTTATTGATGGATGAATAAAAGGAAGAAAATAAATTATCATGCCATCTATATCTGTGTATACAAAATTAGGAAAAATGAAGAATAAAACACACTAACGATCGTAGCGGCATTGAACAAAAGGGTAGCAACAGATGAATGCAATAACTGATAAAGAGATAAACAAATTTAGTAAAAGTACTAAATCAACATGACAGAAATAGTGCTAGAGTTAGTAAGAGAGAAGAAGAAAAACACAAGCCAGAAGAAGATGCTTGCCAAAATATGCATATTATGTGCAATGAGTCATTATAAGGGTACAAGTGAGGCTTGCTCACTTAGGTGAGAAACGGTTCTTTTATTTAATTGAGATGACTTTTGGGTTTTCTTTAATCGGATGTCTCCAAAGAGACATGACTTTTGGATTGTTAGCATAAATTGAAAATGAAAAGAATGAGGGAGGAAAATGTTAAAAAATGGAGAAAAAAGATAATTAAGTTCCTTGGCCTATTAGAGATGCCAAATCACTTCTCCAGTCTCTCAATAATAAATATATAGATTATTTGATCGGCTCCATGAGGACATCGAACAATATGTGAAAAACTAAAAAAAAAAATTTAATAAAGATATTCTAAAATATGTGGGGTGGAGTATTATAGTGAGAGAGCGTTGAATGAGGTCAAAGTTGAGGCCAACAGGTTTTCTTCTTTCCAACATATGAAGCCAACAACTTCATGTCTCTTTCAAACTTCTGGTCTTTAACAGTGCAAAATTAAATCATTTTGACAATATTACCTTGTTTACTATTTTCATGGGAAATATGGACTTTTGCATTACTCTTTTTGTTCTAAAAATTATTTCACGATATAAATCAAATTTTATTGGTTAAATGTTGAACAAGTTCACAATATAACATATACTCACAAAGGGCTTATAGAAAACTGTTGAGGGAATGAATGCAGGAAATGTTCTAATGTATTGCAACGCTCGAGGGTTGTTGCCTGTTGGTCTGCATATTCGGCAGCACATTTACTCTTCGTTGCTTGCTTCTGTATAGATGATATGCCCCTTCTTTTTTTCTTCTTTATTTTTTTCCTATAAATATATATTTTTCCTAAAGAACAGTTTCAACTTTCCAATAAGAACGGTAATTAAGACAGAAAAGAGAAAGAATGAAAACAATAACAAAAATAACTATACTCCGGTCTTAAACAAGTTGGGTCAGCCATATGAATCCTCATATTTTAAGTTAGAAAGTGAAAAGGCATAAGTATTATTATTGAATTCTCATGGGGAAAAATTCATGTGAATGTGTTGAGAATTGAGTTTTGATGATTAACAATTGTGTACAATGAATGTGTGCTAAGAACTAGGTTCTCAAAGTAGTTACTGAAAATTTTTACAAGACAGTAACTTTTACATAAAGTTACTGCAGTCCGATATTACTAGAATGGACTCTTGATGCGATAAGGATTGTTTCCCAAGAATATCTGACTGCTGCATATCTGGTAGATATGAGTCACAAGATTCGTGGATTCATCAGAACTTAAGGATTGCAAGCAAACGAGAGTTTGACTACGTGTAGGACTCCCAAAGATCTCGGAGTATTGAGAAGTTAAATACTTTGCCTATGGACTATGAAGACTATCCTTTTGCACATCGGTTGAAGAACGCAACATAGCATTTTCAGTTCAACACTCAAGTCTCTCATTAGTGTGTTCTGAAAGTTATTTCTTCTTGAGTCAGTTAGGTCATGTGTATTAGGAGATTAGTTGTAATCAAGATACTATTCAAACAATGTTAGTTGAAGTATTGTCTGAGTGTGCAAGTTAGAGTAACATGTAATTCATACAACAAGTAGAAGTAAAAGAATTGTGAGGGTATTGGCTTACAAGTGTTGTAATCAATACATTTGGCTAAGTTGTTCTAGTGAAGTTGAAGTTAAAATCCTACGTGGTAGGTTGTGGTTTTTGTACCTTTGAGCCGGGTGATTTTTCATGTAAAAATTACTGTTCTTACTTTACTATTTATTTTATTTACGCGTAAGGAGTAAGCCGTGTTTTTGTTTTGGGGTTTGTTCTCTTGAAAGATCTCTCATTTGCATCTCTAACTTTTGAATAGATGCGGTGTGAAAACCTACAAGTTCAGTCATATTTTTCATTGAAGTGTCGGACCTCTCTTGATTTTGCAATACTCTTTCATACATGTTCTCCAATTTGGAATTACTTCGGTCGCTTGAAGAACTTTCCCTCCAATGTTGAGAGTTAGAGTATTGGCCCTTTGCTGGAACATAGGGGTTTGAACTCTGATTTGCAAAATTACTGTTATTTTTGCTCCAATTTTCTTGATTTGAACAACCTTGGTCATTTCGCCATTGTTGGTTACCTTGCCCTTGGGAGTTAGGTCTCCATTGATGTTGTTATCCCGACCCTTGGTAGTTTTGTCTTTGATATCCTCCTTGTGAATTGTTAACATATGCTTCTTCATATTGCATTGGAGGATAATCTTGATGTTGGCCTTCTTGATGTTGATAGTTGGCATTTGACATTGGTTGTACTTCTTTCAGAATATTCACTTTCTTTGTTTGGATTTTCGTAAATATTTTTGTCAAAACATCGATATTGGTAGCAATCCCAACAATCAATTGATCACTTTCTTAATTTTCCTTGGCAATGTTGGTCAAATAAGGGGTACCATATGAAATTTCACTCGTCGTGTCGCCCGAATGCCAAGCTTGGTTGTGTTCGGCCACCTTATT